TATGGAGGTGAAGAATAAAATAATGAATTGTTTGAATTTTACAAACAACCTTGCCGGTGTTCTTATAATTTTAAAGAGAAAAAAAAAAGGCATGATGATCATGAAAAACACTATGAGTGAGGTTACTTGTAAACGATATCGCTAGATTCACATTGTCATATCAGCTTAAAAAAATAAATTAAAAATAAAATAAATAAAAGAAGCAACGGGCCTGTCATTGAAATAGAGTCTATGTCCAATACGATGGGAAATATTTCGAGTAAAATCTCTTGAAATAGATTAACAGTCCTTGATAAAAGCATGTTGTACGAAAAAGAAAGGCTCTCTTTACTTCATAACAATATAGTGTCCTTTACACCCACTCACACTTGGAAAAATATTTACCCGGGAGGTGTGTTTTAGTAGCAGCCCAATGTCATTTAAGCCTTAGGTGAGCAGCCTCAATGTGATCTAAGCCTTAAGTAAGCAGCCCTAATGTCATCTAAGCCAGATAGCTTCTAAAAAAGGGTAAACGAGGAATGACAACTTCTTCCTTACATTCACCACTCTACTATGAAAGAGAGGTTTCCTTTTTCAGCATCATAGTTTCTTTCTTCTTCTGTTTATCATTTTGTAAATGAAGTAGTTACCACAGAGCACCATAGGCTATTTTAAAATTGAAATGAGATGCCATCGGTGGCAGATTGTAACGAGGCAACCGAAATATTACATTAAACCCCAAAATAGTCATAATGGTGATGGCACTAAATGTGTGGAGATAAATATCTTTTGAAATCCAGAATGTGAATTGAAATTGCTCGATTTGTGTCATTTATTTAAAATAAAGTTGGATTTCTTTAAGCGACAACCAGATGCTTTACAACTACTTGTATTTACTCTACATTTCAAAGCTGTTATTCTCATCTTGAACAATGTTTACGCTACCGGCATAAAAAGAAAAAAAAGGTTCTCGACACGTTTTCCATTGAGAGCATTTCGTTTGCAACGTAGAAATCACAAGTTTTTCCTCGTAAAGGAGACTGAAAAAGTGTGTTTTATCCGACAAAGAAAATGTCTTTCTTTGATTGATCTCAAAGCTAATAATGTTAAAATTGTTAGAAGTAAAAATAATATTTGCCAACCTTGGCTTTAATCTCCTCAAATTTGCATTATACAACTGTTTTCTTTGAGTTATGTTCTTTGTGATTTGACACTTTTAGGCTCCACAACTTAGCCATGATGTTAATAATATATTTTTAAAACGTCTAAGGTCAAGCGTGAACAAACAAGTGTTCCCGAATTCCCACTATATAAGTTATTAGCTATAAAATGTGATAAAATGTAAGGAACTAATCATATCAGCGGCAAGAAGAGCAGTAGAAATAGGAGTAGCTATTTGGTGATGTGGAGTTTAGTTGCCATTTATTTATGGTTTATAGCTCTGCTTTTACCTTAATGACTCATCAGATTACCCTCTTAAATCTTCAGGGTATCCACTGATTTCTAAAGTTAGAGAAAGAAAATTTACAAGCAAGAACTCAATCATAATACTACACCGATAACACTTTTAGCAATATCTACCTTAT